GAGAGGAGGGGGGGCATTGATTTGAGAGAGAACATCGACTGGCTGCCTTCCACATGCGCCCCGACTGGGAATCGAGCCTGCAACCTTTGGTACATGAGACGATGCTGAGCCACACCAGCCAGTGCAGCCACTGATCTTTTTACTGTCCCCACAGTTTTGCCTTTTCCAGAATGTCATATGCTTGGAATCATACAGATGCAGCCTTATCAGACTGGCTTCTTTCACTCAGTAATATGCATTTAAGGTTCTTCCATGTCTTTTCATGGCCTGATAGCTCATTTCTTTTTATTGTTGAACAATATTCCATTGTCTGGATGGGCCACAGTTTATTTCTCCATTCAACAACTGAAGGACATCTTGGTGGCTTCCATGTTTCGGCAATTATGAAAAAAGTGTGGCATAGTTTTTTTAATCTCTCTAAATTCTTGCACAAAGTCATACAGAGCAACTAAGATGGTAGAACCAAAAGCCTGTGGCCACCATCAGCAACAGAATTAGCTGACAATGTGTCCTCATACACATGTGAGCCTAAGGGGTGGACGACCAGCAGCTACAAAACCTGCATGCTCTGGAGTCTGTGAGGAAGACAGCAGAGAAGCTGGGGCTGCTGCTGGAGCTGAAGCTCAGAAACAATCAGACAGCTGGGTGAGCCCACCTAGAACAGCACTGCAAACTAAAGGGGCTGTACCTCCAGTGGCGAGAGCAAAGTGGCCACGGCCAAGTCTGAAGGGGCTGAACCTGCCTGAGCCCAGAACCCTCAAAACTCAGCAGCTGAGGGCCCCTTCCAGAACTAGGCCCACAGGGGAGAAAGTGCTGGGAAGAGAATCCCGACTGAGCAGCAGTGGGACAGAGAGGAAATGGGAAAAGCAGGTTGAGGTAGAAGCCTGGGAAGAGACTGAATCAGGGCTCCAAGAAGGTGAGCTGCCATGTTTTTGAAAATGTCACAAAAATAACCTAAGCTAGAGCTCTAGAGCCCAAGTCCCTCCTCTCTAATCTCCTTCTCCCTCCCCAACTTCTCCCCCTCCCCCCCTCTCGAATTTTTGGGGAGTCGGAAGTTATATGTGGATTTTCGGCTGTACAGGGGGCTGGCATCCCTAACCTCCACGTTGTTCAGGGATCAACTGTAATTCAGTAACGGGAGGACAGCCAATTTAAAAACAGGCAAAAGCTTTGATAGACATTTCATTAAAGAAGATACAGAAATGGCCAGCAGGTATGTGAAAAGCCGTGTGCCAGCGGCAGTCATTGGGGCAATGCAAATTAAACCAGAAGGAGATTCCACTACACACCCACAAGAAAGGCTATAATCCAAAAGGCAGGCAATAGCAAGTAGCAGCAAGAATGTGGATGTAAAATGGTGCAACCGCTTTGGAAAACAGTTTGGCAAGTTTCTTTAAAAAAATGAAACATAAACTTACCATACAAGCCAGCAATTCCACTCCTAGGTATCCGACCAAGGCAGAGGAAAATTTATACTCAGACTTGTCCGCGAGTGTTCATTACACCAAAGAACAACGCGAACACCCATCAGTTCGTGAATGGAAAACAAGGGTGGGATGCTCACGTAACAGAGCATCATTCAGCATTGGAAACAAACAAACTATTCAGCGGGATGAACCTCAAAACCATTATACTACGAAAGAACCAGATGTTCCAGTAGGTAAAGGGCTACATACTGCATGATTTCATTGACAGGAAATGGCCAGAAAAAGCAAATCAGAGACAGAAAGCTGATCAGCGTTGCCAGCTGGGGATAGGGGTGCAGATTGATGGCAAATGGCACAAGGTGACTTTTTTTGAATGGAAACATTCTAAAACCAAATTGTGGTCATGGCTGCACAACTCTACACATTTATTAAAATAATGAAAATTTCCATTTTCAAGTAGTAAATTTTACAGCATGTAAATTATGCCTCAGTAAGACTAAAAAATCTATGATTTGAAAAAAAAAAGAAAGATAATCTATGACTATAGCTGGAGTTATATTCAGAGAAATACACAGCTTTACATTCTTTTATTATTAAAAACAAACTAAAAATAAGTGAGCTCTGTATTCAATAAATGGGAAAATAAAACAAAATAGAATAAGAAATTAAAGATAGAAGTGAAAATGAATGATACTGAAAACAAAATAATCAAAAGAATAAATGAGCTCATTAGGAGGCATCGCTACCACAGATGTGGAAGGCGTTAAAAGATATGTTAAGAACATAATATATGAGTTAACACACGATCCACTCTAAAATGACCCAACATGGAAGGAATCTACAGATTTATCACTGAGAAAAGCCAGGCCCACTGAGTTCTAAGTCGATCCTCAACCCTGCGTCCTGGACTTGAAGACCACATGAGCCATTCCCTGTCTGATTACTGCTGAGCAGTCCCTACCATCGGACACAGAGTGAGAGAGATGCAGGAAACCTGCAGGCCATCTTCAGTAAAGATCACGACGTACCAGTATCAACACATCTTAGAGCGGATAAAATACAGTGGCATGGAAAGGAAGACCACTACAGACCAGCTTCACGTGGCAAATACAGAAGCACAGACTCTAATAAAAACTAGTAAACTGAACCACATAAATGTCATCAAATACTGCGCCATACTGAGGTTTATCCTCGTAATGCAAGGGTAGTTCAAAAGCAGAAAGTCTATCAACACACAATTAGTTAACATCTTAAGGAGAAAAACCATACAGAATCTGATAAAACTCAGCAGTAGTACTTGGCATCAATCATGTGGCACGGGGGCAGTGAGAGCCATGCGAAGGTGGACCGTGGACTATCTGCACTCTGGGTTGGGGCCCTTTACCAGAAACCAAAGGCCATTTTCATAAAAAACCAGGGCATGCTGAAGCCTTTTACCAAAATGGGAGAAAGCGGGGAGGCCTGCTCTTATCTGTGATATCTATGTTTTACTGGTCCTAAAGTAACTAGTATATATTGGCATAAATATTGGAAGAGAGATAAAAGTACCTAATTACAAATTACAAGACTATATATGCAGACTCCAGTAAAAAAATTACTAAGATTAATAAGAAAATTTGGTAAGATGACAGAATAAGAAAATGTTAAAAAAACCCCAACAGCTTTTCATTAGATTAGCAAGAGCTAATTAGAAGCAGAAATAAAAAAATACAACCCAGTCATAAAAATAACAAAAATATAAAGTACTCAGGAATAAATTTAATGAAAAGGTAGAGATTTAAAAGAAAATCATAAAATCTCATAAAAAGTCAGAAAACAAGACCCAGAAAAGGGGAAGACATACCCCATCTTCCTCGATGGGAAAACGAGCATCATGAAAGTGTCCATCTTCCCCAAACTAACATATAACTTCAGTGTCATTCCGATCAATTCCTATTTTTCTGAACTAGACAAAATTATTTTAACATATATGCAGAAGAACTAGTGTTTCAGAATGGCCAAGAGAGACTGATCAAACAAGACCAGCGAAGGGAACTGACTTGACCAGTGTGAAATTCCCTGGGCACGTGGACGTACAACAGAAAACAGGTCTCTCTGGGAAAGTGCAAGCAGCCTGCGTGCCATTCTTACTCGGTGTAAAGAGAAAAAGAGAAAGTGGAGGTTAAGAATCGCAAACTGAGACCTGGAGGAAGAGGCTTGTGCAGAGAGTCCTTGGAAGACCATAGGAAGCCAGCAAGGACCTGCAGGCCTGGGCCTCTGCATGGGGCCCTAAGCCCTAATGGCAGGAGCCAAGCCCCATCTCCGTGATGGGTACTAGGGATGGGGCTTGAACAGAGAAGGCTCAATGATGGTCATGGGACACCTTCTCCACCACAGACATCCCATGTCTGTGGCCGGCCTCCGAGGGGTACTGGAAGGAGTCATGGGCACACACTCTTCTCTGGCTGTTTCCCCCACTGGGACAGGATGTTGGCGCCAGCAGAGCAGGCCCTGGTTTTTGTTTAATGCTGCACCCCAGTACCTAATACAGGGCATTTCTGTAGGTGCTTAATACAGCATTTGCTGAATGAATGAATGGCATGAGAAAGGCATGGACTATTTGGGAGGGGAAGACTCTTCAAAAATGACTTAGAACGAATATTATCTGCCACAAAGCTAAACCAAACACAAGTCAGATTCAAGCTCTGTAAACTGCACTGAGTGGGTTCCTATCAACCTAGGAGCAGGAAGTGCATCCAAGAATCTGTAAGTCTTTCCCTCCACCAACCCTTCCTCCATCCCTCCCTGCACCCTACTACCCCACACATCTGCACCAAATCCTGAGCTCATACAAAATGAGAATTGTAAAAGGCGAATGATGATGTGCTTGAGGTATGAAATATGTCTATTTTATGGATTATGCCAGTCTTAGATTTAGTAAATACAAAGTCTTTCAGAGGTTCACATTTGACTCTGGGATCCCTACCCTATTTTCTTTGAAAAAGTTTTATGTACTTCAATCTCAAAATCTCCTGGAGGAACACTTTTAGGAACTGAACACCCTCAGGTAGAAAGGGGGCAACTGTGCCATTTTAGGGAAAATTCAAAGCAAAGAGCTCTATTCCCTGACTCATAGGAGAAAGTCCACCAAGGACTGTGATTCCAGTGCTCACTCCTCCAACACCAGAAGAACCAAGGGGTTCTACCACAGTCTTCACAGTTCCTCGAACTGGGGTGGCGCCTGTCTCAGTTGTAGAGCCCTGAGACAGATGAAAGAGAAGACTCGCCCGGAGAGAACTGGCTGGCTTAGTCAGAATTCATGAGAAGCTTTTAAGTCTTCCCTGTTATTTTTTAGTGTATTATACCTATTACACATTCATGGTTAGATTTTTATCTTAAGTAGCACTGGAGCTTAAAATACTGCTTGAGGAAATAAGTTAATGGCATTTAATCTAAAAAAAAAACCTCAATAAAGAAGAAAAGATGAGTCTACAGAATATAAACACAGCAAAGGTATAAGAACAGCAAACTCAAAACGTTATGCTTCCCGAAGCAGGCAACATTTATCTTTATGAGACAAATAATAAAAATTACCTTTTAAAGATGCTAGTTTTTGAAGTTCTCGATTATTGCTGGCACTAAACCTGGAGGAATTTTGCCGTTTGTCTTTCTTCACTAGGGGCTGAATGGACGGCACTTTTATTTTACTAGATACTGTAGACTGGACACCAACAAGGCTGTTTTTCCTGATGGAAATCTGTTTACAAAATAAAAACAAAAACAAATGAGTATGTCAGATGATTTATTTTTAGCACAATTAGAGTACGGAAATGGTGTACACAAGCTTTACTCTGCGACAGTACCCTCCACTCCGCCGCAAACAACATAATTCCTTACGGCTTCTGGACTATGGGGCTCCACCTACCTCCTGTATGCTCTACCTCGAGAGATCACAGACCTACCTAATTTCCTTTATCTTCCCCTTGACTTTTAAATATTTACCATACAGGCTGATATGTATACTGGCTGCTGATAATGACCATCCAAAGACGTTCACATTCTAATCCTGGGACCTCGCTTGGCAATGGACTCTGCAGATGTGATGAGGTGAAGGGTCCTGCAAAGGCAGGTGACCCTGGGACATCAGGGTAAACCCCGGTTAACCACACAGGTCTTTACAAAACAGAGGGCAATGAGATGAAGACTCGGAGGTCAGAGAGAGGCTGGCATGTGCACGAGCTGGCTCTGAAGATGGAGGAAGGGACTGTGAGCCAAGGAGTGCAGGCAGCTTCTAAAAGTTGGGAAACTCAAGGAAACAAATTCTTTTCTAGAGCTTGCAGAAGGAACTAGCCATGCCGACACCTTAATTTCAGCCCCATTTCAGACTCTGTACTCTAGAACTGTAAGATAGAAGAAAGCTGATGTTCTTTTAAGCCACTAAGCGTGCGGTCATTTGTGCAGCAGCAACAGGAAGCTAATCTGCTGACCAGGCCATAAATGACAGGTTTCCCCGCTGGCTCACCACTGGGCATCGGGGCTCAGGAAAGGCTACGGGAGAGCGCTTTGCCCTTGAGTCTCAGGAAATGCTCTTTCTAGCTGCTCTCTTCTCGCATTTCCCTCCTGGCTCCAGATTCAGTGCTCATCTCCAGACTGCACTGCAACAACCAGGTTGTCCCAGGACACACAGCTGGCCTGCAAGGTGAGGAGCAGCGCACACACTCAAGCAGAGGTGGATGAATGCTGAGGGCACATGCGGCGGAGTGGGGTCCTCTGTCATCTGAATAGGCCCAAAGGGACCAGCAGGTGCAGGGAGCCCTGTGGAGCTCAGCTGTGCTTGGCCCTGGTAGTGACAGCGGAGAGGTACACTGGTGAGTGTCAGCCACCCAGGTTCTTTGGGCAGCGAAGATGCCCGCTCTCCCTGCCCTGCAGTCTGCCGGAGAAATGGACTTTGTACCCACACACATGATCTTTGAAAGCTGACCAAACTCATCCTAGAAACATACACCCACACACCCCTCCAATCACACAGGGCCAAGGAGAGCAGACCTATCGATTCGGACCCCTAATTATTTACTCTCATCCTTGAATGGAAGTTTTACCAAGAAGTAAGTTTTACTAAGAAGTGGGCCTGCTTTACTTTAAAAAAAATTTTTTTTATTGACTTCAGAAAGAAAAGGGGAGACAGAAACACTGATGAGAGAGGAGCATCGACTGGCTACCTCCTGCATGTCCTCCACTGCAGATGGAGCCTGAAACCTAGGCATGTGCCCTGACCAGGAATCTCACACAGGTGGCCTACTGGTTGCATGAATGATGCTGAACCCCCTGAGCCCCACTGGCTGGCTGCTTTACCTTTACCAAGGGGCTTAAGAACGCAGTCCCAGGACATTTTCCAGGCCGTCAGAGTGCATCGCTGACGCACCTGCACAGGGCGAGGGCCTGGGCTCCCTTCCTCCCCGCAGTGTGAGCTGCTTCCTCAATGGGTATCTTGGCCTCTGTCCCTGACATTTGTCATTCTCCCACCTGACCACGAAAGTCCTGTCATTCCTCCTCGAAAACCTCGCCCACCGCTCTCCTCCTCGGGCTTCCCGACCTCAAAACTCTCCTGCTCTGCTCTCTATAGATGCTCCCAGAAAAGCCTACTATCTATTCCCCAGACAGCAACAGCTCCTCCCAGATGTCCTTGTTTTCAATGTTACACACCCATGTCCTGGAGATGAGTTTACATGGGCTTTTTATTTCTGTAATACCGCATCCGGTGCTGCCCACACAACTACCCTGGGGGCGCCTGGGTCAACCTGGAACGGGAGCGCTTCCTGCTGCCCTCCCCCTCGACAGAACGACCTCCACACTACAGTGGCAACTGGCTAAGTCATGAAACAGAACAAATGCGTGGGACCCACAGTCCACTGCGGGGCACGCTGAAGTAAGGCTTCCCCTGCCTGAGAAAAGCAAGCTCTCCCCATGGCCTGCTGACTCCACACCATGGCTCCTCTCCCTGGGCCCTGCTGGCCTCACCCCCTGGCCTCCCTCCCGAGCACTTTCCTCCTCGAGGCGAGGCGGCAGCGACTCCCAGAAAAGATGGCTCTGTCCAGGTGGGCCAGCCTCGCTGCGCCTCAGCCCTGGCCTCTATGTAACCAGCGCTGACCCTGCCTGCCCCGGACACCGCACTGTCTGGTTCTGGGAAAAACACAGGGCTGCCCAGTACCTGACAGGAGTCCAAGGAACCTGCAAGGAGAGGAAGGCTCCTCTGAGGGCGTGTGGGGGCCCGCAGGAGAGAAGAGTGTGCACGCGCGCGCGTGGAGCAGTGTCCATGCAGGCATCACTGGGAGCCAAGGGGCTCAAGCACAGCTGCAGGTCACAGCAGAGTCAGGCAGGCACAGGGTGGGGCTGGAGTGGCGGCAGGAGTCTCAGAGCCACCACCCCAGGTTCTCAAGGGCAACTTGAAGCCCAGTGAAAGGGTCTGAGTGAGGCAATAACACCAACATGTTTTTCCTGTAAAAGGCCCCAAGGCTCTGGTGTGAGGTGCAGTCTGGAGGGCGAGAGAAGCAGAGGCCTTTCCAGCTGTCCAGATGAGCGACAAGGACTGTAAATGAACACTGGGCAGAGCAGAGCGCTTGGGCCAAAAATCAAGGTGCTGGGTGACAGAGTGGACGTGCAGGACAACACGGGGTCAGGGAGACCTCCCGGACCTCTGGCTGACATACGGTGGAGGACAGTGGGACAGGTCGCTGAGACAGGAGAGAAACATGGGGAGAAAGAGTCTAACTGGATGTGCTAGCCTGAGGTGCCCCCATGGCGACGCCAGTGTCCCAGGTGAGGAGTTCCAATGACCCCTCTGCCTTTGCCTCCACACCCTTCTTCTCTGTTATCCCGGCCCCAGCGGCCATTCTCCTTGGTCACTGTCTGTCCCACTGGGTTTGGACACAGCAAGACTGGCCTGTCTTCATCTGTCTTGTCCACCTCAGGGACCAGAGCCTGGACCAGTTGGTGTCACACAGCTAGCACTCAGGACACCGTCCTCTGAGCCAAGATGCCAACCTGGGGTCAACTCGCTACCTGGTCACCGCGGTCAGAAAATGAATGAGACCGTGGAGCACAAGAGCATGCAGTGAGCAGAGAGGGCAAAGGAGGCGGCGACACGGGGGCTGCGGAGACCCAGCCAGTGAGGCAAACGAAGATGGGGCACCATGAGGCGGAGGGCAGAGCCGTTCAGGAAGGAAGGAGGGTCAACCCTGCTAAATGCCACTAAAGCCAGTGTCTGATGGCCTGGGGGTGGCAGAGGCTGTGGGGCGGGCAAGGGAGCGGAGGGCGAGGCAGGAAGACGCAGGGCATCCCCGACACCTCTGAGAAGCGCGGTGGCAGGAGCAAGCAGGCGGCACCAGGGGAGCAGCAGGGTCTCAGGAGGGCCGCGCGTGTTTGGGAGAAGAGGGGTCTGGTCATGCTGAATGGTGACGTAGGCGCTATACAATGGCCAATAAGCTCATGACAAGATGCCCAACATCGTTAGCCACCAGGGAAATGAAAGCCACAGTGAGACCACTTCACACCCACCGGGGTGGCTAGAGTTTTACAAAATGGAAAACAGTGATGGGAAGGACGGGGAGGAGCTGGGACCCCGACACCGCCGTGGGAGGAAAGCGGCGCAGCTGCTGTGGACACCAGGCCGGCGGGTCCTTGGTAGCTTCCCAGTTACCTCAGGACGCAGCCATCCCACTCCGAGGTGCACACCCAAAGAACTGACACAGGTGTGCAAACAGACTCGCACAGGGGCTCACACTCAGAGCAGCAGTGCTCAAGAAAACCAAGGACAGAAGCGACTAGAGTGTCCATCCTGATGAAACAAATGTCATGGCCGGGCGATGGAGCATTATTCAGCCATGAGAAAGAATGAAGTACTCACAGGCCCCGTGCTGGACGATCCACGGACATGAAACACCCAGGACAGGCCCTCCCCAGAAGGAAGAGGCAGGCCAGTGCTGCCAGGGGCTGGGATGCAGGGTGACTGCCTCACGGGGTGAGGACCAAGCTCTGGAAGTGGACAGCGGTGGCCGCTGCGCAACACTGTGAGCAGTCAGTAGTGGTGAACGTATGTGTGTCTCATGCATGTAAGAGAGCGTTTCATCTGTTCCCTTTCAGCTTGGTCAGGAGCCCCGTCCAGCCGCCCGCACTGTCCCAGGCACAGCCAGGAGCAGCCTTCCTCTGTGCCCGACCTCTAGACCGGCCTGCGCGTGTCCTCTCAACGGGGCTGGCGGGTACCTCTCTGCGGAGGCTGGAAGCTCAGCCAGGAGCCTGGCAGCAAGGCCAGTGCCGGGTGCACAGCAGGGGAGGGGCACTGGAGGGCAGAGGCACCCACGTCTGACCGCTAGCCCCCCTTCCTAAACGGTGCCACCCTCTGTCCCCCTCATTCTTTGAGGGGGACGGAACAGCAGGCCCCGGTGCCAGCGGGCATGCCTGCTTTGAAGGCCGGCTGTGCCTGGCCCAGGGAGGCAGGACCGCCGGCGGGACACTAAGTGACAAACAACAGCTGTGCTGCTTGGTTTAGGTGTTTACTCCCAGCACGGACCCTGGATTATCTGTCCTGATGAGAGTTTTGCAGAGGTATGGTCGTGTTTAGCTACTTGACTTGGGTAACATCTGAGCGGACTCAGATCTTCCTGTCACTCCTGGAACGGAGGGGACAGCAGTTCTGATTCTACCTCCTCATTCCGTGGAGCAACAGATGCGCAGGATTGACTGCAGCCTATTTTTGGTTCA